ACAGCACCAAGAGTGGGCACTGGGCTGTGAACTGGAGCCTGCTGGGAAAATTTGTCTTGCATCTGAAGCAAAGATGCCCCTGTCTGTATCTGGTTGATGCTGAGAGGGGCTGAACTCCTCACCTCTGAAGTGTTTTGTTGTCAAGTGTCAGAGTCTCAGCACTCAGAGCCTGATGCTTCCACAGTGTGGATGCCCCAACCCTGGGGAGCTGTGGGTGCCCAAAGCTCAGAGGGACAAGGATGGGAAACGCACCTGGGGTAACTCAGTCATCTGTCCCCACTGCTCCATCCGTGCTGGATCCCTCTTCTCCAGAACCATGGGCCCCTCATCAACTGAGGAGAGGACCCTCACCCTCCCTGGGGCTTCCCATGTGCTCCTGAAATGCAGCGATGCTTTTTCTTATCATGAGCATGAGCTTTGCTCTGCACTCGGTGAACCCGCTGATTTCTTGCAGTCAGCTGGGGGCAGACAGTTTTCCTGTTGTCTCCTCTGTGGTTTTCGGGGTGAGGTCACCTCAATGCAGAGATCCCTGTTGATCTGAAGGGAGACCTTGGTGGGGCTCATGGCTGGCGGTGCTTGAGGTGAGCTCAGCACCTTGCTCCTTTAGCAGTCCTCCTCCTGATATTTACCCCTCCACCCATCAGCCAGCCTCAGCAAGTGGCTTCTGGCTCTGCAAAATTTCAACCAGACACAGCTTCCCTGGCCCAAAGCGTGGCAAAATGTGCTCGAGCCCTCAGCAAAGTGAGCAGATGCTCCCACTGTATTTTAACCAGCCCTCCTGGCCTCCCGACGGCAGACTGGTGCTGGTAGCAGCTCCTAATTGCCAGCAACCTGTAATTAGCAGCATTCCCTTAGGAGAAGAGGAAGAGATCAGCAAAGTGTGTGGTTTGCAGCCAGAGCAGCAGGCACCCCCCTAACAGCAGCTCCCTTGCTTATCTGTTTTTAATACCTCTTTTTCATATCTATTATTTCTGCAATGGCAAGAGGGAGAAGTTACAGAGACAGTAGGTGACTTCCCCCCAAATCATCCGTGTTTGCTTAGAGGAGCCTGAATCTGAGTTTCCTAAATCAGTGCCCTGTGTGCTGGACTCTCCGGCCTTGCCCCTTCTCACACAGCTGCATGGGCATCTCTGCACACCTGACCTTGAACTTGCTGAGGAGGAAATTTGGGGTTCAGTTAAAAGGCCTGAGAAAGTCTTCGTGTTCCATCACTTTGGGTCTGTTTTTGCAATTTTAAAATATTTTATACAAGCTTTTATACAAATATTTGGGTGAAATTTTAGCAGGCTTCTCAGTTTTAGTATTAATTTCACACTGGCTTTAAAAAACAGCGGAAAATCCATTTTTACTCTCAAGCCCAGAGCGCGTCCTGTCTCTACAGGCTTAAATCCTCCCTCAACTTGGCAGGAGTGAGGACCAAAGTCACTGTGATGCCTGTGAAGACAATACCCTTCATTATGAGCGAGTGTCATCAAGTCACGCTCGTTAAATCCTCTAGTCCTAGTCAAAAACCTGCAGCCTCGCCCAAAATGAATGTGAGGAGAGACCAAATTGGTCCTGTTAGACCAGTTTTGATTTAGTGTCTCTGGAAGCAGAAGACAAAAAGATGAGGATCTTCCACAAAGCCAATGCTCTCAGATAATCTCAGAGGAGGAGATGAGGAGGGTCCATGCTGCAGTCGATCCTTGGCCACCTTTTCAGCACCTTGGCATGAGTCGTGGCTGTGCTTTCTCAAAGGACATCTCATCTCGCCCGGGTTTCAGCTTCTTGCTCGGCCCCAGTCTGCTTTTCCTGTTGCTCTTCTGAAGTCCTGCCTGGTGGTTATCTGCAGACCAGAAACAGAACCTTTGCTGTTTGGTCTTCAGCCAAAATATTGCTTATTTTCTCAGTGCATGGTGCAATATCTACAAGTCTGTGGCGTATTTGTGCAATAGAAACACAGATTTTCTTTCTTCCCCCTTTTTTTCTTTCTGATTGCCCCAGCCAATAGCTCACTGAGGTGGAGAAGAACATTTATGGGTAGCAGAGACTTTTTAAAATCATTATTTGTTTTTTAGCTGAGTGGTTACATCCTGCCCCTTATCTGCTGACCCTGGCTATGTGTGTGTGTCCTGTAAGAGGGGGTGATGCTGTGAGTCAGTGTGAGAGCTGACGGGGTCTGGAGGTGGCATCTGTGATGGAAAAGGGGAGGTTTGGGGCCAACTGTGGCCATGGCATCTGTTCCTCTGTCATCCCTCTGGGATGCTGCGGTGGTCCAGGGGCTCCCTCCTGTCCTCTCCTGTAATAAATCCCTGCCATACTTTGCAGATTGAAGCGCTCATGATGGAGATGCAGAACCCAGACACGGGCATCAAGACGCAGACGCAGAGGGTGATGATCACCAACATCCCGCACGCTGTGACAGGTCAGAGCTTGGCTGGGGGACAGCACCGGGTCAAAGCTGTGTGTGGGCCACACACTGCAGCCTGTGTTCCCAAAAATATTAGCTGTGCATCCTTTGACAGATACCTGCTCCCTTTATCTCATTCTCACTTGTCTCTTATTGCACACAGAGATTGATAATCATGCACTTTTAGCTGTCTCACATGAATTCAGAGCAGGTGACCTTGCTTTCTCTTAGCATATGGGTGAATCGGTGCTTCAGCCTCCAGACCTGTCGTTTGACTGGTGGGGCTGGATCACAAATAAGGATAAATATTAAAATCCAATTAAAATAAGCAGACTAGAGTCAGACTGAACTTCAGAAATGAACAATTAGTCTCCCTTTTAGTATTTTCTGCTAATAACTATTTTTCTTCAGTATGCAGGAAAAGCACAAAATATTCAACCCACTTCTCTGCCTCTAAATGACAGCTTTTCCTCCCTCAAGCAGGCTGAAGAAGAACCAGACGGGGAGCTGTGCTGTGTCACGTATAGCATTACAGGCAGCTCTTATCGCTGTCTCCTCTGTGCCTGCTGGCTCCTTTCACAGGGCGCTATCAGTACCTCCCTGTTCTCCAAGTCTCCACAAAAGCTCTTGTGAGGGGTTCTTCACTATAAATACTCACACGTTGTACTGAAGATTCCTCCTCCTGCTTTGGTCTTTCTGCAGCACTTTGACATTCGGAACAAAAGCTCCCACTGAAGCCAGTGAACTTGCTCTGGGTGACTCAGGAGAAAACTTAGCCAAAGAGATTAATTTTCCTCCACCGTATTTGCAAAGCCTTCAAGGCCCTGTGTATTATTTGCCCCATTTTTTAAATATTTTTTTGTTAAATGAGGAAGCAGAGGCACTGAGATGAAGTCACTTGCTGATGGGTACAGTCAGTGAAAGGAGAACTTGGGCAACGTCTGAAGCTTGTTCTCAGCAGCACCCTCCATGCATCGCAGTACAAACCCTACTCTGGCTTACATAGCTGTCACACAGCTGGATTTGGTGAAGTCCTTTGCCAGGCATCTGCTTTGCCTCCACTGACTGTTAGTGAATTGTCAAGGCAGCACTGCAGAAAAGTTTCCCCCGTACTGAAGATGATGTGCCACCTTGATGAAGTGCAGGGGGAACAAGCACTTCTCTTGCTGTCTGACCAATGGAAAATACCACTTCCTAAAAATCCACGTGGAGGGAAGATGCCCGTTGGTGCTCATCCTCTTTGCGTGCTGTCTGCTTTGTTCTGGTTCCTTAACCAGAACTGCTGCAAGTTCCCTCTTGCATAAGTCATGAACTCTACTCAACTTCTGATAGGCGAGATCCAGTCTCCTTGCATGGCAGTCATCGCTCTCTAAATGATATTTTTAGTGCTGCACAAGTTGCATTCGTACTGGTTGACTTCTGGGTGTTGCAGAGGAGACTGATTCCTGTTTAGTGAGGGAATGGTGAAGACAGAGCAGTGGACACACATCCACTGAGGAGAGCTTTGCTCTTCACGTGCAGGAAGCTAACTAGTTAAATTCACTGTCAGTAAAATGGCTCAGAAAAGGCAAATAAACCTCCGTGTTAAATGCACACCTTTGGGGAAAATGCTTACAGAGAGAGCTGTCTAGAAGTGAGCGATGAGATAATCCTTTAATTTCAGCTATTTCAGGAAGCAGGCAGTAGGATAAGAGCTCTGAGCCCCTATTAGAAAGTTAAGTCATCACCGCAATGTCAAGAAAGGTCAACACCTCGGCCTGCAATCCTGGGGAACGTTGGAGGCAAAGACCAGAAATTGTTCAGGGAATGAGTGCATTTTTGCCCTTTTTAAAGGGAAGGAGGTTCATGAAATTTGCCCCCCAGAATATAAAACTAAACCTGCTGGAGGTTTATGGTGACTCTGGGTATGAGTGGTCACACCCCATCAAAAGTTGTGGGAGAGGTGAAGTGTTTGTGAACTCTCTTACTAAAACAGACAGGACCATGCTCTGTCAGTCTGAAGATAATGTGCAGTGAATCTTCCAAGACAAGACGGTGCAAAACAAGGGGCCCTTCACCTTCCCTCAGCATGGAAGCTTTTGCATGGCTTAAGCCCTCTCTAAGCCAATGATGAGGGTTTAAGTGTTGCTCAGGCCACGTGTGCTCCTGCATCCTCCTGCTGTGCCATCCTGGGGTCACCGCCTGCCTCGGGCTCCTCCTCCCAGGGACTGATGCTGCTTGGTCAGGAGAAGGTCTGAAGGACCTTCATGGAGAGATGGGCAGTGCGTTTTAGCTCTGCTTCTCTCACGTGGCTCATTTGAAAGCATGTTTGCAAGAAGGGCACTTGGTGGGCTCCAGAGCACAGTGAGGGGTGAGGACCGGAGAGTTCTCATTTTAGCACATGGATTTTGGCCAGATTTCAAGCACCTGACATGTTCTTTGCTTTACAGGCAATGATATATTGCAGTGGATTCTCCAGCGCTTGCAGATCGCTGAGGAAGGTGGGTAGAAGTGTAAAAATTGAGGCTTTTTCAGCTTGGAGTTGTATAGCTTTAAGGTCTCTGTAAGCAAAACCTTTTAGATGAATCCTCTCCTGAGTAGAAGCTCACTTTTAAATTCCAGTACAGTGTTTCTGTGCAACCAAAATGCCTGCCTTCTCCATTTTCAGAGGCACTCCACCTGGGGGACCTGTTTGTCAAATACGGGTACATCTACCCTCTCCAGGAGCCAAAGAATCTCACCCTTAAGACAGACGGCAGCCTGTACAGGTTTCAAGTGAGTTGCACCTTGTCTGAAGCCATTAGACAAGTCCCTAAAAGAGAGAGTTCAGCACTAGCTTAAAAACAACCATGCTGGTCATTCAGTGTGCAGGAGGAAGAAGCCTCAGGCCAGTTCCCCCAGTTCTATGTGCCAGATTACAGGGAAACCGTGATACTTCCTTCAACTAAATGAGTGTACTTGTTCGACTTCAAAATAGCTGTGCTTTCTTCCAGGTATCTGTTCCCTTCCCAGGTCTTAAAGCAGCAAATGGTATCACTGGTTGAAACTAGAATAATCTGGGGAGACTGAATGATGAGTGCACAAAAAGCACGGTAATAACAGGATGTTATCAGGGTTCACGGTTGGACTGTTTCCACTACAATGGGAAATTAAGAGTACCCTCGTTGGTACTTGGAATGACATACTGGTTCCCCCACGGTGCCAAATCAGGCTCTCAGTCTGAGTGTGCAGGCAGCAGTGAGAGGTTGGCTGTGTTAACAGATCACAAAGCAGGAGTAGATTTGACGTTGGCCGTCTGCTGCTCTCAGTTCTCTGCTGTAGCTGACACACAGCTGAGGAGCTGAGGTTTCCTTCCCTCTGGTGTGGGTGGTGTTGCACTCTGCCTGAGTTCAAGTCTACTGTGCACTTACAAAAGCCTTATTTTCCTACAGACCCCCTATTTCTGGCCTGCACAGAGCTGGCCTGCTGATGACACAGACTATGGTAAGTGATAATATTGTGTGTGTTTAGGTGACACAGTGCAAGCCCATGTGTTTGTGCACGGAGTCCTGCCCGTCTTTGCTGTCCATCCTTCTGTGCTGTGTGTCCACGTGCAATGACCAGCCCTTGCATTTTCTTTAATAAATTAGATTAAATTAAATTTGGCAATAATTCTCAGTAATAGTGAATTGAGGAAATACTCTGGATGGGGCTGCCTTGTGGTGGCCTTGATGAGAGAAAGTGCTTAAGCTTCTCATGTGTTCCACTAAGACCCATCAGATTGGAACACATCTGAAATAGCTGTTGAGTAGGGAAGACTTTAAACACAAGGTTAGATTTCCCTGAGTCGTTAAGTGTGTTCCTGGATCTGAGCCCAAGACTGTCTTCCTGTAGATTTGGATCAAGCCCTGCATTAGGAGATAGTTCTTTCTTTATATAATGCACAGTGGCTCTCACTATCTCCTGCTGGCTCTTTCCATATCGAATTTTTGTTGCCTTTATAATGCTTTTTATTATAGGGCTGGTCATGAAACCTGGGCTGGTCAGCTTGGTTTGTTCCTGCAGGCTGTGCCATTCCCAAACTGATTTGTTTATACCAAGATTGGCCTCTGTGGCTTTTATCTACATGATGCTGTAGATCTTCTGGAGAATTAAAATAACCAGGTTTAGACTGCAGTGTTTTTAACCTTATAACAAAACATTGACCTGTGTTGGGAAAACTTGGAGGTCAAACTCTGAAGAACCCCAACATCTGACGATACAAAGCTGGGAGGAGTGGCTGACACTGCAGAAGGCTGTGCTGCCATTCAGCGAGACCTGGACAGGCTGGAGAGTTGTGTGGGGAAAAATGTAATGAAATTCAGCAAGGGCAAGTGTTGGGTCTTGCATCTCGGGAAGAACAGCCCCATGTACCAGTATAGGT